GCAGGCAACTCGCGACCAGCAGCCTGCACAGACTGGAGACGGGCCTCCTGATGTGGCACCGGGCGGCTATCCAGCGCCGAAGCTGCCTGGATGCCTGCAGCGAGGAAGGGGATCCACACAGTAAGGCCAGAAAGGCGCGAGCGCCACTGCAAATCCGTCGCCTCGGACAAGAGGTGGCCGCAGGCCAGAAGCAGGGGGACGTACAGCCAGCTATTCGCACAGAGGAGGCTGTGAGGCGGACTCGGCTTCAAGCCAGCAAATTTCCATTTGCACGGGGGGAGAAGGGACAGACCGCAACTCCACAGGAACAGCTGGGCGAGAAGCCGACGCCAGCTGGCCAGAATACCGCTGGACAAATTCCGGATCCCAGTCGGGCGACCAGAGCACGCGGGCACATGTGACGACAGCCGCGCCAAAAAACACGCGCTTTGCTCACCAATGCCACTACAAAGCACGGGTTCCAGGCAGGCCGGGCCATTTTCCCCCGGCGGGAGTCTTCCCACTGGGCGCTGGGCAGCTGGCGCCGGGAACAGGGGACGGTGAGCGCACAGAACCAGCTGCCGGAGGAGTGACCGAAGGGAGGCTGGGTGAACAGGGAACGGACAGGGCGAGTCAAGGCCCAGGGGGTCGGTGTGCTTATTTCGCCCGGGCGCGCCACCCCGGAAGCGAATTGTTTATACTGGGCCCGCCGCCCAGTTCCAAGCTCCACCGGGGCGCGCCGAACCAATGACAACCACAGCCGGGGGCAGCACAACAAAGTCAGGTATGAGCGACAAACTGATAGCGTGTTGGTGGCGACTTTGCTGAACAAGGCAAATGGAGGTTTGCAGCACAGGCACAGCTGAGGGGTGGCGTGGGCCGGCTCTAAAACAGGGCCGCCCCCGCCAAGAACCATCGCCGAAAACGGGTCCGCGAGGAGCTCGCTGAGGTCGGGCCCACCAGTGCCAGCAGATGCAGAGCAGAGGTCATGGACTTTACTGCAGTGAATACGTGTGTATACTTGCAGGGAACTTGAGGTTTCGCAACCAGCCATGTGTCTAAATCAGACAGCCTTGAAAGGACAGTTTGTGCAGAGCATGAGTGTTGTGAGTGTTTCAATTTTCCTTGCAGATTCATGTGGAACCACGTTTTCCGTTGAAACCGTGGCTCAAGAAACCGTGGCTCAAAGAGCATCGGAAATCGGGTCCTGTGTGGATTCGTGCATGGGTTGCTGAACAACCGTTTGGCGACGTTTTTTTTGAGGTACAACCCCGCAGTGCAATCCCAGCTGACAACAGCGTGGATCGCACCTCTTGCAGAGCTTTTGTGTGCCAACAGGCAATTTGCGGAGCTTTGAGGAGAAAGAGCTGATCAAGATTGTATATTCGGCAGAAGTTTTCTTGATTTGATATTGAGGATATATTTGCTGAGTTGAGAGGATTTTGATGCAGTTTGGGACGTGCATATATCAGTGGATATATTGGCCGTGTGGGGTTTAGTACCTCCACATGGTAGCGGAGCTCTGAAGCAGGTCAGGGCAGCTCGATCAGTTCGGGCGAGATGGCAGGTACGCCACCACAGCAGAGATCGAGGTCAGGTTCGCCACCGAGGGCGAGTCGAGCTTCGAGCAGAACACCGCAGACATCTCCAGCGAGACCCGTTCCAGACACGGGAAATGCAGTGTTGACGCAGCAGGTGACCGCACTTGCAAGCGTTGTGACGCAACTGGTACAAGGGCAGCAGGCTCTTCAAGCCCAGATTGCAACCATGGTGAGTCAGCAGAGCCCACTTGATGGGGGGCAGAATGCAGGAGCGCAGCCTGGAAGTTCGGCAACAGCCAGTTTGCCAGCTTCGGGGAGCTCACCGGCCGTTCCGGCAACTGGAAGTGGCCAAGCAGATGTAACGGGTGGAACCGCTCCACCGGCAAGCTTTCCAACGTTTCAGGGAAACACGAGCAGCAGCAGTGGTTTGGGGAGTTCAGTTTTTCCTCAACGGCAGGTTTTGGTCAGCAGATGCAAGCGAGTGGCGCGCAAGCGCAGCCGAGTGGACCGCAGACATCAGTGATGGGTGCAGCGGTGCCATCGGCAGATGGTACAGTTCCGGGAGGAACAGTGCAGAACGAGCAGATGGGCAGAGCGGACCGTTGGGTGGCACCTTTAGAGAAGGTGAAAGTGTGGAAGACAAGGTCAGATGAGCTGATCGGGTTTTCTACATTCCTTGTGTATGTGGCAAATTGGTTGGGAGCGATGAGTGATCAGTTTCCAGCAGAGGTGTATGCAGCAGCAGCACATCAGACGCCTTTGACACAAGCCTTGTTAACCCCAGCGCAGGCAGCCAGAAGTGTTCGTTTGCAGGTTGTTTTGACGCAGGCATTTGCAGACAATCCCCGTGGCATGAGGATCATTACGGCATATGTTGAGAGTTCTCAGTTCGCTGTTTGTGGTTTTGAGACTTTGCGGAAGCTAGCAACGGAATTCACCTTGAAGTCAAGATCGGAAGGACTTTTCTTCAGAAGCCAACTGTTGATGCAGACGTTTCGTGAGGATACAGTGCATGACAGTTTGTGTTCCCTGGACGCCGCTGTCGCCCGCTATGAGAAGATGATCAGTCGTCTTCCAGATGATGCAGACAGGCGCGCATTGAGTTTGTCAGACGTTGACTTGACACAGGTCTTGTTGAAGACAATCCATGGTCCATGCAAGGAGTTTGCCTTGATGCATAGTGACGGATCATATCATGATATTCGTTTGCGTGCGCTGGAGCATGAGCACCGACATCGCATTTGGTCGGATCCATCTGGAAATCAGAAGAAGCAGGCGAATGCGTTTCAGGGAGGAGGACCTGGTGGAGGACCAGGAAAAGGCAAAGGGCGTGACAAAAGCACTGAGAGGAAGTGCTACCTGTGTGGGAAGCCCGGCCACATGGCCCAAAGATTGCAGACAGAGAGACAAGATCGCGCAGAATGAGGGCGTGATCTGCCGTGCATGTGGAAAGAAGGGGCATTTTGCCTCAGCTTGTCCTAACAAGCCGAATGTGCCACAAGCCAAGGGACAGTCGAAGTCTCAGGCAGCAAGCCAACCGAAGGGCCAGACAGCAGCTGGCAAGGGCCGTGGCAAGGGCAAGGGCAAGAGCAAGAAGGGAAAGGGTAAGCAGAATGAGTTTACTCAAGAAGATGATCAATCAGATCATCAGCCAGAAGACGAGGAACACGGTGAACCAGCGCCTGAGGAATCAGCAATGAGTTTGGTGACTTTGTGTCACATGCCAGAGCACAGCTGTGACATTCAGCAGAGTGTGCATAAGAGCGAAGATGTTGCTTGATTCCGGCGCATCCTCGCATGTGATCAGTTTGCAGTTTGCACGGCAGCATGAGTACTTGATAACTGGGAGTAGCTGTAAGCCAACCAGGTTTTCAACCGCAACAGGAGCAGCCGTGGACATGTCTCTTCGAGTAACCATTAAATTGCCGTTTTGCACCAGAACCAAACAGGGAACAGAGCAGACGCGTTGGTTTAAAGCGCAAGCATATGTGGGAACCGTTGAGAACAGCATTTTGAGCCTTGGCAAACTTGCAGAAAACGGTTGGGAGTCTTACTACATGGATTCAGTCTCAGCGACGCTTCGTGAGAGCAGCACCAAGCATGATGTTGACGTGTTTTGGTTCTCACGATGTCCTTGGATTGGAGTTGACACTCAAGCTTTGCGGGCATCCAAGCGTGCGCACCAGGTTTCCATAGCCAGTGCAATTGCCCAAAGCCACCAGGCAGTGTGCATCAGTCAGAAATCTCAGAAGAAGGTTCAGTTTCAGTTAGGTGCTTTGCTTGATGAGTCAACCGGGGAAAAAAGCTAAAATATGAAGGAAAAGAGCTTTCCAGAAGCTAAACTGTGAAGGAAAAAGAGCTTCCCAGAAGCTAAAATGAGGGACTACTCAATAGGTCGTTATAACTTAGAGAGTTTATAAGTTATATATAATTTATTTGTAATTTGTTTATCTTAAGATATATGTTGGTTAACTTGTTTATATGTTCTCTGCGAATGTCTGGTAAATACGAGTTACTTAGGCAACATATAGGTAACTTAGCAGCCGAAAGGGTCGGGAACTTATAAGTAACTTAGGGGAACTTATGGGTAACTTAGCGTTTCTTTTTTTTCTCGTTATTTCGAATGGAATTAGCATGGCAAAGCAGACTGTAGCTTTGGGCTCAGCAGAGACTTTTTGGTTTCCAATTGCAACATGGCGCATGTGGCGATTTTGGGCGTGGCTACACGCCTGCGCTCTGCGCCGGTGAGTGAGGAGCAAAAGGTGGTGGAGCTTCGAGATTTGTCTGCGCTTTTGCAGAAGATCATCACCTCTCAGGAGGATGGGGAGAAGATTTGGAAGCACATGGTTGAGTGTGAGGACGTTTTTTCTCAAGCTGATGCTGATTTTGTTGTGAAATTGGTGAACTCTTCTGAACTTCCAGGAAAGGCTTCCCGGAGGGCAAATCAAGATTACACTCGATTGCCTGGCCTCCTTACGAAAAAAACAATGGGATGAGATTCAGAGTAAGCAGTCTCTTCGTCTGCGGTTGGACTACTTGCTGGAGTTCTTGTGGACTCACTTGCGGCTGCGTTTGCCGACGGAAGGCACTTTGGCAACGTTGACTGCAATGGTGCGAAGGATCCAAGTCGTTTTGAACTGTATTCTGCTTTGCAGACTGTGAGGAACACTTGGAAGGCGATGTACAAGAAGTGGCGTGCTTTAGATTCCAAGGATATAGAGAAAGCAAAGACCTGCGTCCCAAGGCACCAACAACAATGAAAGGAACCTAAGTATGGGACAGATTGAAAAGCAACTAATCGGGCAACACGACATGACACGCCCCAAACCCGATCTTACAAGGCACCCACCCTTGAGGTGATATGCCCGGCAAACAAGGCCAATCTCAGACTTCTCGACTTCTAGAGGTAGATCCTCTAGGGGGCATAATGAGAAGCTTACTATACACCAGCACCTTGGCGTCCCAAAGCCATCAATGGAGTCAGAAGGTTTTGATTTTGAAAGTGAATATGACAAAATGAGCCCAACAATAGATTCTTCTGGGAACTACTTGGAAAATCGACTCTCTACTCAGGCCTTCTACAAACTCGGGCTGGGACAATTCACCACCATTATCCACATCCAACAAGTCAAAGAGGTCTGCCATGCTGTCCACCGAGACATGGTCCAAGAGTTTGGGCGGCAACATCTCCAAGGAAACCTAGTTAGTAGTTTGAAACGTTTCCAAAAATATTAGTCAATTTAGTCTTCCCCAGAAGGAACGAAAGATTAAAAAACAAATGAGCCCCAGAAACATGTTTGATCTCCTCCTTGGTGATGAAACCACTTTGGTCCACGTCCAAGCGCTGGAAGGTGTCCAGCAAAGCGGGGAGAGCAGCCTGCACACGAAGGTTTGGCAGTTTCTGAAAAAAATGCGAATTGAGATTGGGAGGAGTTGGAAAGAAAGTAAATACATCGTATGTATTGCCATGTTTTAAAACTTTACTACAACAGCAAATCTCTCCATTTTGCTGGGGTGTGTAGGCAACATGATGATGCACCATGACACATGCTGCACGTGCTTTCTATGGGCACAAAGATGCCATGACGTTGCATGCCACATTGATCGTGACTGAGGTTGGAAATGTTTGGGCAGATGGAGGGTGAATTGGTTGAAGTTTCGGAAATGTACGTTTAGTTCGTTCGTCTTCACACAACTCAAATCTTTTTTACCAATTCAAGGGGAATCTGGAAATTTGGGTAGCTGTTGGCGAAATATTCACAAAACCGTGTAAGCAGTCCACAAGCAATATGGCAGAAGGCTATGGGTCAAAAAAATGACCCACAAAACAAAAGGTTGGTGTGTCATGTAAAGGAAAAACCACTGTCTTCCCTAGGGGGTTGCTGCGCACTTTTTGACCCATAGCCACCTCAACAATTCATAATTACCTCATTTTACAGATTGCAAAGCCACATGTCAAACCTCTGGTGACGTTAGTGCATGGTTGATCAGGCGCACCGGGAACCACAATTTTGCATGTGCGATTGTGACACTAGTCTAGCGAGTTGGCGTGTTTTGCATCAAAGGTGGTCGACTCTTTAGGAAATCATCGAAACATCACCACAAGTCAGAAGCTAAACCCTGAGCGCTTTCACCCGCTCCTTGATCTTTTGCTTCGTCTTTAACCGCTCTGTCTCGGCTTCATGAGCGGCGTGCTCCAAAGCATGTTCCACAAGAACGGCAGTCACCTGAGTGAATATACTAATGGCATTGATCAAACCCAGACAAACAACACCTTCTCGAAACGAGAAGGGATCAACCCTTTCCGAAAACCAAAAAGCCGCAATAATGCTGACCTATGATTAATAAATAGGGCCCCCCCCCCTGAATGACCATAAATAAAGATTAGGGGAGAATTTTCAGGGTCGGGCCTTGTTTAAAGGAGTTTAGTATTGGGCTCAGTTTTTGTGGTTTTCGAATACTACTTTAGAATTGGGCCAATTCAAAAGTAGTATTGGGCATGTTGTTTTTTCTTATTTTGCTTTGGGGGAATACTAGTGTTTATTCTTGAGCCAATGCCCAATGGGCAACCTGCCTAACCTCAACCGGCCTTCCGGAAATAATCATCCTTATTTCACCTTTAGCTTGTCAAGACTCAAATGCAGTCACCTACATGTAAAGGTGACTGCATGCAACGGGTGCTCGAAACTCAACATATAAAAGGAAGACATCAGGACTTGAGCCCAACATGAAAGCCCAATCTCAAAGAGCTGAAGCAGTTCGGACTTTTTCCAGCTGGGAGAGCAAACTGATACCGGTGCCAGGCAGAGAGTTGACCTTTGTCCAAGTCTGCAACTGAGATTGCCTTTGCAATCCACTTCACACTCGTCGGTTCATGCCTTTGCCCCCATTTTCCGATTGGATGAGGCTGAGAGTGATTTCTGCAGAGATTGCCACGGCACTGGTACCTGTGTGCTGCCCAGCTTCTGAAGAAACTGAAAGTCACCCCTTGAGGGTGCGTCAGTGACATTCGATTTCGTCGGCACTCGTGAAATCCACAAGGCTGTGGATATCTCCACTTCCATTTGCAAAATAAAATCCAAAAGAACTTGTACGTAGCCAGCCGCCGTAGACCCTCTGATCAAAGCGAATTTGACGCCTTCGTTGTCCGTGTAAATGGTAACAAGTCTATTCGCGATGACCTCACCCCAGACTGTAAGTGCAATTGCAACTGCAAGCATTTCTCCACCAAAAATTACCTTAGCAGAGGGATCCCACTCAAGGGCCCGAAGGAGGCTACGATCAACCTCCTCCCCAAAGAAAGCGACTGCCATCCCAGCGCTATCCACAAGAACACCTCCAACTCCAAAGAAACCAGAATTGTGCTCCAATGCCGCGTCAGTGAAAATATGCCATGTCTCTGAAGACCATGACCGCAAGATCCTGGGCTTTCCAGACTCAAGCAACTCCAAGAGCTTCCTTAGCACCTGCAGCGCCTCGTGTCCCACGTTGTGAGACGAGGCATGGTATGCAAAATGTGACAGAACCTGCGACGCGGATTTGCCCAATCTTCCGAAGAGCTGCTGGCAGGAAAATACCAACCTGCCGTGCAACTGCAAGGCCTGCGCCTTGCCCAAGGATTTCTTTTCCAAAACCTCGTGCACCACTTCTTTCAATTCGGAAATGCGAGCCTCCGTGTTGCAAACTTCCACACGACCCTCATTCATGAATTGGAGCCGCAAAATGATACCCAGCCCGGTAACCTCTTTGGAGAATGTGGTATTCTTGTGTCCCTCCTTGGCGTAAACCCAACCCAGGATGTCGAAGAGCATCCTTGCTGACTGGTCGGCACTGGTTTCCAAACAGGGTGTGGAAAATAAGGGGAAGTCATCGAAATACACTGACCACATAAGCCAGAGCTGCTGCGCACCCAGGGTCCATATCGCGAGGCTCAGTCTCAGGAAAGCGTGCACCGACATGATCGATCCGAACGGTGCGACCAGTGCCTTGAAGTATGCAATAGAATCAGAGTCGGTATCCCAAACCGAAAGAAAAGCCCATTCCGCCGCAGTATGACTGAGGGGCAGTTGCTTGTAAGCGCTCTTGAGGTCGAACGTCTTGCCAGTCAACTGCGAAGGTTGCGAGTGTCGACCCGCACTGCGAAGCCACCAAACCAAAAGCGCCGCAATCACATCCAAAGAAAACACCTGGGGTTTCTCCGTCACAGTGACACAGCTGTTAATCTGAGATTGCGACAAGTCGTCGACCATGCGGACTTTGTCCTTTTGGACTAATCCGAACCTGCGGGAAACCAACACGCCCTTCTCCAGTTCATGAAACGGCCCCTGCAGCCATCCTCTATCCACCTCGCCGAGGCAGTCTTTCCAGACTATCTTTGCGGATGGGTCCTTGGCGCATGCCCTAGTTTGGGCATCCACTATGGCCCCCACAGCGGGAGCCATGCCCCGCAGGGCGCTGACAGTCGTGCGTTGCGGTTTCATCTGTGGAGGGAACACACGCGAACTCGGCGTGTCTCCAACTAGGTCGACTCCTTCAGTCAGAATAGCCGAGACCTTTTCATCAGGGTAATCGATCTCTGCCAGCATCTCATTGAAGAGTAAAATTCTTTTGTTGCACACAATGGCTGCAATATTGGGGTCGAGCTCATTATGCAGAGACTTCTCATCCTGTTTCAGCTCAGCGGCTCTTCTAGTCCACTTCTGAGCCCACGTGAGGCGCTGTTTGGCAATCACATCCGGTGTGAATTCCACGTGTGCTCGCATGGCAGACAGCAGGGCCTCAGGCAAAACAACTTCGCAGTCAGCTGGATGACCCAGGGCCACCGCCTGTTGGACAAACTCCTCATCTGTCCAATGCACGCCAATCTTGAAGAAAGCTTGATCACTCGTGGGAAGTGGTGTTGGTGCATCTTCAACAACCATCCTGATATTACCATTGTTTGCCTCATCCCCCTTTGCAAAACTGAAACAATGCAAGACTCTGGTGCCGGCGGGAACGAGGTCACAGCAAGGTTGCAAACACACCTGAGGGTTTGGCGTCCAGTCTCTGGCGAGATCGGACGTCTCCAAGGTGCGAAAGGGCAAAACGGCGACAGGGCCCGACCCAGTCAGCTCAAGTTTGTACAGTGGTACGTGCAGCTGAGCATGCAGTTTCCGTCTTTGTTTGCCAGTCACATGTCGCAAACTTTGGTTCAAAGTCAATTGCAAGCTCCAGGGTGACGTCGCATGTTCCATCTCCTCTGCGCCATCTGCTAAAAGCATGTCATGTACGACCAGGCTGACTGCCCTGCACAAACCCAAAGGATAGTGAACTTCGGCAGCCGTCGCAAATTTGCCAGACTTCTCAAGGCCCCATGGTTCATGCTCATGGGAAGCATCACATGTGGCGGATATTCTCAAGAACTCACGGCGATTAGATGCCAACATGGTTGATTTCATGCGCCGTGATCCGTACATGCACGCATGATGCGCTGGGTAAACAATCTGACCTTTACAATGTTCATGGACTCGCGACCAGAAACTTGTCAACCAGAAAAATGATCGTCTGGGATTTTCCACCACAAAGGCGACCCCTCGCTCTGCACAATCAATGCCAACCTGAGCTGTAAATCTGTATAATTCATTTGCGGCCAAAAGTCTGGCCCGAAAATTTGAGGGCATCTGCAACACCGTCTGGTTCCGCCACTGATCTCAGAGGCGGTGGACCAGAGCCAGGGTGGCCACTCATTGGTATGTCCCGCGCTCTGCTGGCCGTGCCACAAGGTGGTCCCAGCCACACGAAACACAGCGTCTCCATTGCCACAAAAGACAAAATCAACTGTTGTACCTCTGTTTTGCGGACATCAAGGACAATGACAGGGCTCAAACAGTCCTTGGTCCGTAGCTGGTCTATTCCAAAGCTGCTTAGCAGCCCAATACGCCTCAGCTGGCAAGTGATACCTGCGGTGCCGGAGAAGATTTCTAACGCAAACAGCTCTGAAATTCTCCGACCTGCGAAACTGCGCCTGGCCACTGCCGGGCTGAGTCAGTGATCCTTGTGATACTGCAAACTCTAAGGCCTTGTTGCAGCCCCTCTTGATGCAGATGTGCATCCTTGTGCTGCACGATTCCCCATCCTTAGCGTCCGGACAACCACCTGGCAAATTGTAGGCAAAGCAAATGTTCCTTCCCTGAGAATCCTTTGACGGGTTCCCCACCAATTCCTTTGGCATTGGTCCGCTCCCTTTGGAGCGGAAGTCTGACTTCCCCCGTCCGCGGCCTTTGCCACCACCCTTTGCTGAAGCCTTCACGGGCTGGTATGGCCCTGGACGGGAGCCTTTTGGTTCGCTCGCCTCGCTGGGACTCTCGGGAGGGGCTGAGCAAACAGCATCACTTCAAAGTTGGTAGGCATGGCTTGCATGACCTCATTGAGAGGCATTTTGATTGGATCAGGCTTGAGATCAGTGCAATGTTCGGCCGTGTAAACATATGCAGCTTTGTCAGCAGCCAAAATCTGTCCTAGCGTTGCCCGGGAATATCCCTGTGGCACATCCTTTGACAGCAACTTGAAGAGGAAGGTTATCCACTTGTGCTGGATGTCAAAAGCAATCAAGTTCGCAAACGCATAGGCAACGCACCTCCGAACCAAGGCCTGGTAGATGAGGAACTCGCTTCCAGTATCAACCGGGATGGCCTGATCTTTGTCTTTAATCTTGAGGGTGTTGTGTTCGATCGAGAGCTCTTTCTCCAACTTCAAGTTGAGGATCTCGGTCTCCCTGCTTGGGCATTTCCAGGGAGTGATGTAGCGCAAAACCTGTGATTCAGCTTGGTGGCATACTTCATTCAACAAGCTATGCTCCGGCAGCATGGGACCTGAAAGATCGATACCTTTCAACTGCTCCGCCAAGCGCTCAAGGCGGGCCACGCGTTCAGCAGGAGGAATCTTCCGAGCTTCAGCGCTGTCTGTGGTGCCCTCAATCTGTGACCTGAGGTGCGAAGTCACGAGCACATGCGCTTCAAACAGGAGCCTCTTGGCCCTCGCCACTGTTGCCAAGTCAGGCTCCATCCCTAGAATCCTTGTGAGCCACGCAGTAAAGTCCGCCTCAACAATGGGCTGGCCTGGTTGGCCATGCGCGAAGCCAAAATTGCCCATGCTGCCAATATCCTTTGGAATGAAGATTTGAACCACACCATCTGTAAGACCAATCTCAATAGCTCGGCTTGAGAAATGCGCAGTGGAATCAATAATC